AGTGTGATCCTAACTCTACTTGAGGGTTGGGATGTCCGCATTTCTTTGCTTGCAGTCAGCATGCGGTGGAATGAAAGAACTTGGCAACGCATCTCATCAAGTCGAAAAAGTCGTGCCAGTCCAACCGTCTGGCAAGTAGAGTGTAGGTACTTTAGTCGGACGGCTGTTGAGCGTCGCATCCTGTATAAGTCATGCTTTTGTTCGTTTGTTGACGAATGGTATGCATGATTGTATTACATATAAGTTGATGTCAGAATACGTGTCAGCTTACGTTGACCTGAGACTTCCTTTGATGTTGAACTTTTGATTGTCTTTGGGAAAAGGGACTAGGATTGATTGAGGTTTTCTTACGCTTGGAATATCACGTCCTAGTTGACCGACGTCGTTCCGATTCCTGGGAGATTAGCGCCCCAGGGACGGGCGTCGTTCGGGTCCACTTGGCGTTTAACCATGCGTACCTATTCTACAGCGAACGAACAAACGCCCTCTGCCGGCCTACCTCTACAATTACATTATAAAAGTTTTCGCATGTGGGTCGGTAGCTCGGTAGGGATACGCCCCTAAGGGTGGTGACAGCCCCTTATGGAAGGTAAGTTGTGCCCCGCGAGAACCTGTCCTGTCGTAGGGGACCGCGGGATGTACAGTTGGCGCACTCCGCCGGAGCGGCGAAGGGTCGACGCGGGTTACCGTGTCGTCCCCGAGTTGTCTCTAAAAAGTTGAAAGCCTAAGTTTCTCCTGCGTGACGCGGCCAGGAGGGCCCTCGCTCGCGTGGGGGCTGATGCGCTCGACAGGTGGCACCGTTGCCGGGGATAATGACAAACTACCGTTGTCCCTGGTGGAACGACACTCGGGAGTGGAGCAAGTAAAAGTTCGTGCCGTAATGGTTATCTAAGAAAAAAGGTTAGTAATCTCTGGACCTCTATAAGTGTAAGGAAGGAACCTTAATAGATGCTACCAAACTCCTAGACTGATTTTTTGGGTTTATGTTTTGGTCCCTAGATGGCCGCTGCCGCATGACGTCGCGACAACGACGACGATGGGAGGAATGACATTCAAGAACTGGCACGGGTTATCCGGCAGTCGCAGCGAGAGCCCTACCCTAAGATTGATGTTCCGTTGTTCGACGGGAATCATGCCTCTTCTTGGGTAGACAAGTTCGAGCAATTCGGATATAGCAACGAATGGACAGATGAGAAGATGCTTCGCATGGTAAAAAAGTATTGTCAGGTGGGGTACCGAGACGAGATCGATGAGCTGGTGCGAATCTCTCATGATTGGTCTGACTTTAAGGCGCGGTTGTTGGAAATGTATCAGCTCAGTGACCGGTTGCTCGACCTGCAGGATTTGAGGGCGGTGGATCGTAAAACGTTCGGTACTACCAAACAATTTTTATTGGAATTCGAGCATGTGGCTCGCCTAATTCCGGATCTGTCCAACAAGGATCGCTGCCTCATCTTCCTTGACAACTTCAACGACGTCGAACAGTCGAAATTGGTTGAGGGGATGCAAGGGAGGTATGACTGGACTAAGGTCCGGCAAAATGCGCTGGTGGGGAAGTTTGACGATATCCTCTACCGGTTGTTGAGGCAACAGAAGGAGGAGCGGGAAAAGGTGAAGCTGAGAGAAGTGAAGGACGGTGGAATTCATAAAACTTTGACCTGTATGAGAGAAATGATGGAGGGCATGAAGGAGGAAAGGCTGAAGTTTCAAGTCATGTTGGCCAAAGAGAAAAACAGTAAGAGAAAGGGGAGAGAGCCAGTGGAAGAAGAAAGCGACAGTGAGAGCGAGGAGGAAAAGGAGCCGCCTCGTAAGTTGACAAAGGCGGAGAGGAAGGTCGTGAATCAAATTCAAGGCGGACAGGGGACTTCCCGAAAACAGGGGAAGAACGGTGGACAGAATAATCAAGGAGGGAGTGACAATGCTAGCGCTGGTTCACCAGGACAAAGTCTCCAAAATCAAGGGCAGTTCCAGCCACAGGATGGAAGAGGCCGCGGTCGAGGCCGTGGGAACGGACAGCGAAGCCGTTGGGCGTGGCAGCAGGAAGCCACATGTAACTATTGCGCAGAAAAGGGTCATATTATGCGGTTTTGCCAACTCCTTTCAAGAGATGAGAAGGAAGGGATTGTCTTCACCACGACACGCGGTGAAGTCTTTGATTACGAAGGGAACCTGACCGACCCCAACATTGAAGGGGGTATGAGGAAGGAGGCGTTTCGCCAAATGGGTCGTCTTCTACCGGCGATGTTCCGGATTGCTTCTCCTGAAGAAGCATGGTTGGCAGAGGTCGGGGAGACCATGGCGTCGTTGCATATCTACGACTCATCGGTGGAGCCAGAAGGGTTCAGGGAACAAATGGTGGAGCGGGCGCAAACCATCACTAGGCGGCTTGCCCGATGCCGGGACTCTAGTGTCCGACTTTGCGTGGACATGGAGGAAGTCCGGCCTGGATTGCCGAATGTCTTTCTCTTTGGCGAATGGGGTGATAAAAGGGAAGATGCGTCCGGTCAAGCAAGGACGTCTGCTCCGAGAGAAGCATTGCAAATTGGGCCAATGGTAAGCACGATGCGACCAGAGGAGTGCTCCGATTGTAGCCGTTCAGACTCGGATGTGGCGACAAAATGAACAGCTTCAAAAGGAGAAAGAGTCTGAGAAGGCAGTGGAAGAAGAGCCTATTTCCATTAGTGAGAACGACGAGGATAATGAGGATGAGAAGTTGCGGGCCGAAGAGGAAGAACGGGCTCGTCGTCGTGCACTGGAAAGGGAGCCGGAGAAAGGGAAGGTCGAAGCAAGCGATGAGGAACCGCGAAAGAAGAAGAACATTTACTCGATCCCCGTGGAGCAGGGGGTCGATATCGAGCGGCTCGTCGATAAGATTCTGGAAAGTCAGCGCGACTTGGTCACGCTGAAGGAAATTTTGGCGGTATCGCCGAAGATTCGAGAAGAGTTTAAATAGCGGATGACTCGCAAGAGAGTTATGACTGTTAAGCTCGGCGAAGTCATTCCGCCGGAGGCTAACTGGTCCCCGCCTGGGACGAAGATGGATTGGCGAAGTGTATCGACTGGCCATATGAAGGTCCAGATTGGACAACAGGAGTACTCGACACTCGTGGATGATGGAGCTGAGATGAACATCATTCGCGAGCGCCACGCTATTGAAGCCGGGTTGAAGATCAACCGAGATGACTATGGGTTTTTGGTGGGAGTCGGCGGATCGACTCCATTTTGTGGAACAGCCAGTGGCGTTCTCGTCACGGTCGGAAAGGTCAAAGTCCGCTCTTATTTCTACGTGTTACCTAGAGTGGAACACGAGGTGATTCTGGGAAGGGCGTTCCTATGCCGGCCGGAAAGCATCATCATTAACAAGCATGATGGAACTATGTTTGTAATCCTTTGTGATCCTGTCTGCGGTTATTACGAGGTGGTCAAGTGTGCAAACAGTGGACCCTATTGTTCGCGGAACCGGCTGAATCCGGAATCGTATACCTTCCCTGAGTCAGAAAAATTGAGAAGGAAGAAGGAATCGCTAGGGGAGGAGCCGAATCCTCGTGAGTTCTCGCTAACCCTGCCTGATATTGGGCAGGCGATCGATTTCGTGTCGACACATGCGGCGATCGATCCGAATGTGGTGCAGGCAGTGACGAAGATCATCACGGACACCGGAAGCGCAGGAACTATGCGCCTTGTTTACTCCCCGTCAGAGGGAAGTAAGGGAGAAGATCAGGGATTGCCCTCCACTCGATAGGGTCCTTTTTTAGAGGACGCAGGCTTGACACCGGCACCAAAAGTAAGTACAAGAAAGTAGGCGTGAAGGCAAAGCCGGTGCCAGTTCTGATCACTCAGGAGGAGGAAGTCTATTATCGTGAGGAGCGCGAGTGGATCAGAGAAATGAAAGAGAAAAGTGGAAAGGGGCCATGTCGGTTAACCAAAGAAAGAGTGGAAAGTATGATCATTGGGGAGGAGGACCTCCTTACTGAGCAGGAAAAAGGGTATATCATCGATATATTGAGAAAGGAACATCTCTCCTATGCGTTTGATGATGATGAGCGGGGAAGGTTGGATGTCGATAAAATCCCGATGATTAGAGTTCATACTGTACCACATGAGCCATGGAATGTGAGAGGGCCACGTTATCCGAATCCGGAGGATCACCATAAAGTGGTCACGTATCTTGATGGAAAGATCCGGACGAAGGTTGCAGATTATTCTCACGGGCCATATGCATCTCCGTGGTTCTGTTTCATCAAGCCGAATGCTACCTTACGGTGGATTCAGGACCTTCAAAAGTTGAATTCGGTGACAGTGCGAGATGCAGGTGGGCTCCCACATGCGGACTTACTGTCGAAGTCTTGTGCAGGGAGGTCTATCATCACCCTGATCGATTTATATTTCGGGTATGATCAGTTTCCCATTTACACTGCGGATCGGCCCAAGCTGGCGATGCACAGTCCTTGTGGATTGATCCATATGTGTGTGGCGCCGCAGGGGTGGATGAATGCAGTCGCCATTGTTCAGAGATATATGACGAGAGTTATGCAGCCTTATTGTCCTCACATAACATCACCGTATATTGACGACTTGGCTATTCCAGGATCTTGTACGAAGGACCTGATGGAGGTATTACCAGGCATTCGCTGCTTTATCTGTGAGCACATCAATGATGTGGTGAAAATCCTTAAGAGATTGAAGGAGTTTAATCTCAGAGCTAGTGGGATTAAGTCTCGGCATTATATGAAGAGAGCAGTGATCTTGGGATTCCTTTGCGACGAGAAAGGTCGCCGACCGGATGCGAAGAAGACTAATAAAATCTTGGAATGGCCGACCCCCTTCAAGTTGATCACAGATGCGCGAAGTTTCCTCGGGACCTGTAGATTTTGGCGTATCTTCATCCGCAGGTTTGCCGCCAGAGTGGAACACTTGCAAAAGCTTGTGCGCAAAGGCCAGAAGTGGGGATGGGGTCCGAAGCAACAAGCGGTCGTGGAAGACATAAAGACTGAGTTCCGTGAGGGCGGATTGATCCTTGGAGTTCTTTTTTCCGACGATGATGAAAAACGTCCTTTTGTTATAGAGACTGATGCGGGGCCCACAGCCTTGGGAGGGGTCTTAATTTAGAAGGATGTTGAGGGGCAGGAAAGACCTCTCAGATTTGAGAGTAGGACTCTGAATGTTGCTGAGAGGAACTATTCCCAGTTCAAAAAGGAAACTTTGGCCATGCTTCACTCCTTCCGTATCTTTCGGAATTATGTGTTCGGTAGACGCTTCATCCTGCGGGTGGATCCGACTGCATTGGCTCAATCCTTAAGGAATTATTCACCTGCTGATCCCACCATTGCACGATGGTTGACTTATATTTGGATATTCAACTTCAAAATTGAGCGGATTTCGGGAAGTCAGAATCGTGCTGATGGGCTGAGTCGGGTTGCATGGGACCCAGAGTCGGATCAGGCGGAAGAACCAGTTCCGGTCGATGCCTTCCTGAAGGAGGAGGAGTCGCGATTGAGTATTAACTCTCTTGCCTACCTGACAGATGCGGCCACTCGGTATGGGAAATCGATATGGAACGCTCCTGCCTTTCACGAGGTACGTCCGGAACTCGTGATGGAGGAACCTTTCATTGAGGAGGACCCATGGGACGAGCACACCGCAGAGGAAATGATGAGGCTGACTTTGACCGATGACATCGACCTTATGCTTGATCCGCTAACGATTGAACAGGGCCATACGCAGGCTGATGACGCTTTCCAAACCGTTGGAAGGATGTCATATATCGCGAACTTGTTGGTTCATGAGGATCACCTGAGGTTAATGAATGCGGAGGAAGGAGGCAGTGAGGTCAAAGAAGCGTTTAAGGAGGAGTACGAAGAGGAGTATAAAGAGATAGACATGTGGTTGAATGGGGAATTGGACGAAAGCGAGGTTGATCCGGTTGTGCGAGAGAAAAGCAAAGGATTCGTTGTTCGTGATGGTCATCTCTTTAAGAAAGTTGCTGATGGTGTCCCAAAGAGGGTAGTATGCGGAACCTCTCGACATATGGATGTGATCGCTGCCTTGCATGATGGAGTAGCCGGAGGGCACAGGTCTGCGCGAGTAACCCTGAACAAGATCCAACGTCTCTATTTCTGGGAAGGGATGAGCAAGATGGTGATTGACTTTTATAAATCTTGTTTCCCTCGTCAACAGAGGTTTAATATCCGCTACCTTGAGCCCCTAAATCCACGTTATGTGGCAGAACCGGGTGCAGTGGTGCATTTGGATCTTTTGGTGATGCCACCTGGGATAAATGGGTACAGGTATATCTTCGATGCTAGGGACAATTTGACTGGGTTCGTTGGTGGTTGTGCCATTCGCGAACGTACTGGGTCAGTCTTGGCAGAGTGCATTGAGGAATATTACCTCCGTTATCCATTTGTTCAAGAGATTGTTATGGATCGAGGAGGCGAGTTTCGAGCAAAGGAGGTGCAAACGTTTTTAAAGAGACTTGGGGTGAGTTTCAGTTATACGACGAGAGCGCATCCCCAGGCCAATGCACCCGTGGAACGAGGACATACCACCTTGTCTAACTTATTGGCTAAATGGTGCAAGGGGGAACCATCAAGATGGTCAATTTATTTGAGGGCAGCCTTTTTTGTTGAGAATGTTACCATCAAGCGAACAACCGGGTATGCTCCCGTCACATTATGGTTTGGACGGCATGCGACTTTTCCGATTGAGAGTTTCCTGRCCACTTGGCAGAAACAGGACGTGGAAACAAAACTCTCAACAGAAGAGTTGTTGGAATTGAGGGCAAGACAGATCATGGTGACTGAAGAACGGATTGAAGACGCGCCTATCTCTACTTCTGAAAGCAGGCAGGCTGATAAGGAAAGATGGGACAAGAGGCTACGTGTACGAAAAGAGCCGTTGGAAGTGGGAGACATCGTCTTGTTGTATGATATGTCGCTAGAGAAACAGTGGTCCAGAAAACTAGACAGTCGGTGGCTAGGACCATATCGGATCACTAGGAAAACAGAACATGGGGCATATGAAATAGAGGAGTGGGATGGATCCCGAAGTAGAAATTGGGTATCAGGTGCACATCTACGAAAGTTTATCCCAAGAGTTTAGTGAAAAAATTTAGAAAGGAAAGGTAGAGGAGGTAACTGGTGGCGTCAATTTTGGTAATTCTTCTTACTCTCGTATTGTGGTTCAGTTGATTCTGACTTTTGCCTTAGGCTAACCGAGGAAGTTATAAAGTATTAATAAGAGTATTGAGATTGAAAGGTTATCAATGGGATTGTGACTCCTGTTGTTTTATAATAATGGATCTGTGCCTCACTGCCACAGACAAATGTAAGATGACTATGATATTTTTCTCACAATTGTCTCTATGCAGTAGAGGTGTTGGATACTGGTTGTAGACTAAAAAAGTGATACAAAAGGACTTTGTGAGATTCTTATTATGATTGGATGGTCATTGCGAGAAGTGTATTGTGAAATAGATAATAGATGCTTATGTTGTTAAAGTATTCGTTGCATATGTGAAAGACTGAACAACCTGGAATTCCTATGAAACTCCGTGTATGTGGTTATAAATGCGAAATTTGTAAGTACAAGTCTAAGGAGATGATCTGTACTTCGGTCGTATGCCCGACTTAACACATGTTATTCGTCGGACATGTGATTCGATTGCTCGTCATGCCTTATGACTTGGTATTGTTTTGATTGTCATGAAGTGAGAAATCCTAATGTTGCGAGCCCCGTAGACAGTGGTGAGGCCTGCGCCGGAACTTTGTTCCTAGTCCATAATGGGATGCTGTTATCCTTCCTTTCGGGGAGGATGACTACACTATCATCGAAAGGGAGGAAGGTGGTAATATGTTTGCTGGAACCTTGCTTGTGAGGGTGGCGATTACCGCTCGCCATGAGGGAAAGATTGATCACCTTTTCTTTAATGGTGAATGGGGTCGCCTCGACTTTATGGCCGGGTCTGATCAGCTTAGGTCATAATGGAGGGGTAGTTCAACCTTGCAGGTAGGGTACTAACGGATGTATGACACTGAAATCGGAGGGAAAGTGGTGAGGCTCGAGTCTAAAGCGGGGTTTGACGTCGAGATGTTATTCTCTATGGATTACACCACTCCTTGACGCATTCACAATACATGTAGGAGATAAATCGTGCATGACAATTAAGTTGGAATGGGAATTAACCGGACTGGACAAGGACTTTTGAAAAGGGTGATTTTTCTCTGGGATGGTGCCGGCACATGCTGTAGTATAGTGTGAGTACCCTTGTGTTTAGTGGGGAGCCCGGGTTAAAACTCCTGGCAGAGAGAGACATGTTGAGGTGTTAGGAATGCACCCCCACGAACATGAGAGGCCCAGGTTAAATTCCTGGCAGTATGTGCTATATGACGAAAGACCCGCAGGGGGTTAAGCCTGACGAGACCTAGACAGGGGGTTATAGACTGAAGAGGGTCTCATCAGGGGGATAAGCTTGACCCATCTATGAGAGACAACAGGAAGCATGAGTGGCCGCCAGTCGGATGATGCTGGGATCATTCTTCTAAAATGTTCTTGTAATTCCTCAGGTTGGGTAAACCCAACAGTGGAGTCCAGATTCCGGGGAAAGATCTGCCAGAGGTTATTTCTGGCCCCATTCCAACACGTGAGTGAATGAAAGTGCTTTCGAAGGAAGGTTCGAAAGTATCATCAGGCTTGAAAGTAAGCCCTTCTTGTTAACATTATCATAAGTAATGAAGTCTGCACGGAGTATTTCATAAGAAGGGTATCCAGAAGATTAGGTAAGGAAAGGAAAATTAACGGCGACAACGTCGTTCATTACGTATAAGTATGTAAAATCTGGGTTAATTCCAGAGGTATTATGATTATGTAATATATTTGGTGAGGTCTTATAAAAACTTCCCCTTTGTATTGCCTTATGGTAAGCGACGGGGACGTCGCTTAATGGGGGCGGGGAAGGCTGTCGGGACAGAAACCCCTGGAAGGGTTTCTGCCCGGGTTTTTCAAGGTCAGACACTGCCCGACCCTTGCTTGGATTGAAAGACTTGATGAGATTGACGTTGCCAAAGGTTATTCAGACCAACCCAATAACTAAGAAACCTAAAGCCTGAAGTCGATGACGTAGGACGTCGTTGACGTGTGACGTCATTGACGTTCGTCTAAAACAGTGGGAGTCGGCAGTGCGGCCTGTCGTCCATGGTTCCCGACAGGGCCGCGGTGTTGCGCGGTCATGAAAAGACTAAAGTTAAACCTGTTTTACCAAAAATAATGTCGCGCGGCTGTCCTAAGTGAGCTAAAAAGAGGTGTGCGCCGGGTATGAAGCCGCGACGCAGGGGGAATAGGAAGGGGAGTTTAATTCTAAGGCCGGTGCCAAGGTCACTCGGCCAACTGAGCGTGCAGGGCCGTGAGTTGGCGGGGCCAGCAGGGCCACAGACAGGCAAGCAGGCAGGGTTGGCAAGGCCACAAGCAGGCAGGCCGGACCTGTAAGGCTATGGGCAGGCAGGGCCTGCAAGGCCGCGGAATGAGGGGACATTGGCTGGGCCAAGCTCTTCTTATAGGAGAGCTGCTCCTATCACTGTCGCGATAGCAGCTAGCCCAGTAGGTTACCACACCAAACTCTCACCCGGCAGATACCGGGAGCGAATCTGACATGCCAGCCTACTGGGCAAAGCTCCTTTTGGAGCAGCCCAAGGCAAACGGGCGCGGCCGATCTCGGTCGTGCGATCATCAAAATCTCGCGGCTGAGATCTGCCGCGCCGAGATTAACATGGCCCCTGCGCAAGGATGACACGCATAAATCCAGAAACAGTCCAAATTTTTCTTTCGATCCCATCAGGGATCGAATTTGGATCTGTATTTCAACAGTTCGTGGGGGTACTGTGACCCCGACGTGACCGTTGGCTAGGCCAACGGAGTGTAAAAAAAAAAAAAACTAAAACTCAAACTACAATGAAGCGCCAGATGGCGCACAGCGGAGTATCAGGGGCACTTCAGCCCCACTGTACGTGACARCGCCCTGAAAAATGGGCGACTGTTTTTTCAAGTTTATTTTATTATTTTTTTGTTATTTTTTTCTAGATTCGTTTTAGATTTTTTTGTTTTTAGATTTCGTTGGTTTTTGTTTTTCTTTTAGTAAAAATTAGCAAGTGCCCGTTCCTTTTTTACGAACGGGCTGTCACCTCAGCAATAGGATGAGCAAAATCGAATGAATCTGTCGTGGKAATGCGGCTGAGTTCGGGACGTGGGTTTTGGACCTTGTACTGGAGTTACGAGGGTCCCTCTGCGCACGTTTGAGGCTGCCCCGACAACTCGTCCATAGTTGGCAACGACTGCGACTGTCGGGATGCCCACACGGAGAGAGAGAGGAAGAGAGAGAGAGAGAGAGAGAGAGAGAGAGAGAGAGAGAGAGAGAGAGAGAAAAGGAGGGAGAAAAACTTGACAGACTGTTTCGTCGGACTTTCACCGACTCATCAGGAGGCTGCGCCCCTACAGTCTGAGTGGGACAAGCAAAATCGAATGAACCTTCGATTAGAACATGGAAATATACGCCGTCCCACTTTGGCCTTAYAGCCAAAAGGTCTGCGTCTGTTCGTCGAGAACAGGCTGCAGACCGCCGCCTGCACCTGGCGCCGTAGGCGTCCGGGTACGGGCGCATGGGGGCAGTAGGAAAGAAGACTCTGTTGAGCTTGACTCTAGTTCGACTCTGTGAAATGACACAGAGAGGGAGGCTTCTCGTTTTGAAAACAAGCTGCCCCCTCACAAAAAAAAAAAAAAAAAAAAAAAGTCGCGAATCTATCCGCGACGCAGGGCCAAATGCAGCAGTGGAAGCTTTTGGACCTTGAGATGATAGCAGACTGTTGAATTCCAACAGTCTGCTCTACCTGGCTCTATACAACCGGTTGTGGCTGCGTCTGGCCGGGGTTAGCGGCCAGATGCATTACCGAAGCTTGGAACTTGGTTCCCCTAGGGGAACATCAAGTTTCTCAGCCCTTGATCTCAGGCCTCGCTCCGAGTTTTGGCTGGGGGCAAAGCTGCTGCCCACACCCTCCAGCCAACTATAAAACAACCAGCAGCCAGCCAGCATTCAGTTGTGGCTGGTGGTGCTGGCATTCTACTTGGTTGAATGCTGGCTGCTGCTGTGAGGGAGCTGCTGGAGAGTGAGGTGGAGATGAGTGGAGGATCGCAAAAGAGAGAGGGGAGGACTGCTGGAGGTGGCCATAGCTGTGGGACACAACCATAGCCGCCGTCTCAGCGAGGTGAAAAGAGAGAGAGGGAAGCGCTGGAGGTCTGCAGGGAGCACGAGAGAGAGGGCAGCCATAGCTGCCGCTGCACTAGGTGGAGCGCAGGGGAGGTGTTGTTTGTTCAGCACGGCGGTGACAACGGGTTTATCGACGGCAGTGCGGAAGCGCTGCCGAAATTTTACGTCGACGGCTATGCATTTTCGGCGCTAACGGGGAAGCGCTGCCGAAATTTTGCGGCGGCAGCTGTTTTTTTCGACGGTAGTGCAAAAGCGCTGATGAAATTTTGCAGCGGCAGCTGTTTTTTTTACGGTGACGCGGACCCGCTACCGAAATTTTGCGGCGGCAGGTGTACCTTTTTAGGCGGCGACGCGGAAGCGTGGCCAAAATTTTGCGGCAGCAGCAGTTTTTTTTAGCATTGGTGTGAAGATGTTGTCCGGTCTTCGCGGCAGCGACGACAATTTTGAGGGGTGTCATTAAAAGGGGGTGTGTTTTGAGGTGGTGTTGACGTTGTGCTGTCCGCATATTGCGGCGGCGACGCTTCGACACAGTGGTGGCATAGTGGTACTGGTCGCAAGTGGTGACAGTGCTGAGATACTGAGGGGGTTGTGTGTCAGTGGACGATCCTCTCATTTGGAGTGGTGTGGATCACTTTTTTGACAGCTTACTGCGACGATCTTCTCATTTGGAGTGTGGTTTATACGGCTTTCTTGAGTGGGTCGTTTGCTATCTTTGGTTCAGCTTCACTCAAGGTCTGTTAGTCTGACTCGGTCCTCTTCACACCTGTGTGAACCCGCACTTGCTTGACCCTGTTCTTTGAGCGTTCATTGAAAAGGTAGAGGAGATGTGTGCATGCGCGTGTGAATGAGAGTCTGACTTGAGGATGGGTTTGCATCGTGTTGGTTTTGAATTTGTTTGTCTGATCTGATGTGCAGGTAAGACGACAACTGCCTAAAAA